ACGTGTACATGTACATGTATACATGTACGTGTACACGCGGGCGCGTACACCTCACCTCCTTTGGACGCTATATATATATATATATATTTTTTTTGAAAAAGTCCAAGGGCTAATATATTAAAGATAAAAATACAGATATGTTTGTATGGGTGGGCCTAAACATCCAACCCATACGGTACAACACACATTAAAAAAAAAAGTAAAATATGAGTACATATAGAAATAAAAGAAAAAAAATCAAAAAACCACCCAGTCGTTGAAAAAGTGTGGGTCATCCCAATCTAGACTTGCCTCTGACTCTAGTTCTTGGTATGGATCCAGCTAGCAGATTAGTAAGGTGCTGACCATTACCCGTAGTATCCAAAGTATCATCCATAAGACTCTTGAGCTCTAGTAGATCTCAATTCTTCGTCTTCCTCCTGGAAGTGTAAACCTGTCATTCCTCTTCCGGAGAATCAGTGTAATGAGGTGGTAGAGCTGTAGCAGAAGGATTATCAACCGTTGTACCAACAATAGGTTTTAGTATATGTGAAGTATGAGTTGTCTCTACACCGGATACTTCTTGAAGATAGGGAGTTGCGAGATTCTCCTGAGTATTAGTTTGAATAGTATCCTTTGTAGGTAATAGTCCTTCATTGTTGTTTTCAATAGGGTTTGAAGGTCTAGGTTGCCTAGCAGAGCCATCCAGCATCACATCAATTGCAGTAACATTAGTGTCAGTGGGGGGTTTCACAGGGGCAACATACACCTCCTGCCTTGTGGTAGTGTCCTCTACAGGTAGAACTAATATGTCTAGAGTTGTGAGGTTAAACCCATCATTATTCACTTGAACCTTAGATTTCAAATTAGGATGGAGCTTGTGGCATTTATCAAGGGTATGCCCAAACATCTTACAGTGAGTACAATAAGGAGGTCTGTGTTTCATGACAATTTGTTGCCAATATCCATTATGAGTTATTCCCCGCCAGACTTCAGTAACATCATGTAAAGTAATATCTCTTTCCACAAGTATTCTGGTCATAGAAGGTCTGGTTAAATTGAAAGTGGGTAGATCTAGCTTCAAATGGTCCCCAAGAATGACCCAAATAGAGTAGAGAACCTAATGATGAAAAAAATGCATCTTCACCACTGAAGGATTTGTTAGGTTGAAAGTATGGAGATATATATATATATATATATATATATAATTTTTAGAAAAGCTCGAACGTAAATATATTAATAAAGGAAAGGTACAGATAGATTGGATGAGAGAGCCCCTATTGGCACCCTAATCATCCGACACACAACACACAGGTAGGAAATACATGTATACCAAAAAAAATTAAAAATAAAAATTAGACTAAGAAATTGTACATCAAAAGTTTGCCAACAGTATCCTCCTCAGGTGGAACTAAAATATCCAGAGTATTGGGGTTAGCCACATACCTTAGCTTTCAAATTATGATGATTATCAAGAATATGCCTAAACATCTTACGGTGGGTACAATATGAGGGTTTGTGTTTCATGAAGATTTGTTGTCAATATCCATTATGGGTTGTGCTCAGTCAGACATCAGTAACATCATGTAAAGTAGTATCTCTTTCCACAAGTATTCTGACCACTGAAGGATTGGTTAGGTTGAAACAGACGTTGGCTTTAAATATATATATATATATAATTTTTAGAAAAGCTCGAAGGTAAATATATTAATAAAAGAAAGGTACAAATAGATTGGATGAAAGGGCCCATATTGGCACCCTAACCATCTAACATACAACACACTGGTAAGAAATACATGTATACCCAAAAAACTAAATAAAAATTAGACTAAGAAATTGTACACCAAAAGTCTATCAACACTCGCAGATTCAGTTAGCTTGCGAAAGTTCCAATTTAGCACTGCTTCTGCTCTGTTTCGAGGACGGGAGTCAGCTAACAAATTGTTATGTTTGTTGTCATTATTCGAATCAACCAATGTATCATCCCTCAAGTTTGGAAGTAGATCTACATTCTTTTTCTTCTTCTTGGATGTATAAACCTGTCATTCTTCATCAGAAGATTGGATCATCTACTCCGTAGATTGATCCAAAGATTGTCGGATAGGTGTAGATTGTTGCACATCATGAGCCCCGTGAGTCTGACTAACATTAACAACTTATTTTACTTTGAGACGGTAGAAACTCAGAAGAAATATTGCCACCCATTACATCAAAGTGATGCTCTAGGGCAGATGAAGTATGAAATGTCTTTCATGTCCCCACGAAAAGAGATTTCATAATAGGGCCTATATCATTAACTTTGTGTGGCAGATTACCAGTGAGGATAGTAGCATCTTCAGGAGTATCCTTCTAATGATCAAAAGTGTCAATAACTTGGAGCGGATCAGGAGAAGACAGAATCACTACCTCTGGCTGAGCATTTTGCTTCTTTGGTCCTAGATGAGGGTATAGATTGTGACATTGAGAAATGGAGTAGCCGAACATACGACAATTCAAGAAATACAAAGGGAAAGACTCAATCACAATCTTTTGTCAATATCCATGGTGTTGTGTGTCTAACCATATTTCCTCAAAAACAATTGAAGAGATGTCACATTGACTTCAGTGGGATAAGAAAGATTAAGAGTAGGAATGTCAGTTTTGAGTGACTTACCATAAGCTGAGACAATATAGTACAACACTTGAGTAAAATAAAAAAATTTCAGACCAGGGTGACGGATCCAGACCGAAATGATTGGTGGTTCCGTCTCTAGGTCAAATTCACCGATCATTTCAAAATCTTCATTGTTTTGTTATCAATCTAAATTAATCTTCTAATAAATAATCATGTGTAAATCCTCTTCATTATTTAGTTGAATAAGGATGTGACTTCCATCTAAAAGTCCAATTTTACACTCTCCAATAATGTGCATAAGCTCAAATTCCTTACGAATAAGCTCCATTTTGGGATGATCATAAAAAAATTTTCCAACCAAATTCAGACGACAGGAGTAAGCAAGCTGATTAAATTTTGCTTCCGTAAAAAAATAGTTGCCTTTTTATTCTTCCTACCAGGTTTTTTGATGTCTCCATCCAACGCAATCGAAGGAAGGAACACGATTTAGGAGTAACTAAGGTGAGGACACTCGTAAGGGCAGCAGCATACGAACTGTCCGAAGCCATCACCAAAATAAGAAGGCATGGAGATAAGACAGCAAAGTTACAGTGGACGAAAGAGCAAAAGCCAAAAAGGGGATCAACCGTAACCCCTTTCAAGTCGAACACAGGACGGAACTGCGAAAGTGACAGTTGAAGCAGATGAAGCAAACCGAAACAGACAAACAAAGTTAAAACAGATGAAGTCTCCAAGTCAAAGCAGACGAAATCACGATTTCAAAGCAGACGAATTCGAACCAGATAAATTTGAGCACACCGAAGGAGCAGACAAAGTCGAAATAAAAGTAGAGCAGAGAAGCACGACGAAGGAGCAAGAAACAGATTGGAGGAGTCGAGGATCCTTGAGCGTTACGAATCGAGAAGACGCTGACTTAAGGGTTCGCCAAGAGACGAAACCCCAGAACAGTCGTGCACGGGAGAAGGAGACGCCAATATTATATAAACCAGTTGAGCACAGACAGTGATATTTTTTAGCGAGTCGAACAAGAGCTAAGCCTCGGCATGCTCATTTTCGGCTCGTTTGCACCCCTACTTCTGGATGTCCTATATGTCGCTATTGTTTCTTATCACGTGTGAAATCTCAATGAAGGCAATCAAGTTCCTCTCTATTTTTAGTGCAATGGTTTTTGACGTTTCTCTGAATGACCTTCAATGGTGAAATGCATATGTGACACAAGCGAGCTCGGTATTACGTGATTAAAAGCAACTAAGAATTCTCTTTTTATAAGGTTTGATATCTTCTCGTAATGACAGATTCGTTGATTTATGTTATGTTCTCTTAGACCTCACAGTTTAATAAATTTTGCATTGATTACTACTAATATTATTTTGGCTAATGTTGCATCTAAGGATTTGTGTTTTATTATTTTAAACCTTCAGAAAAATGAACTTGAGGACTTTTGATACCTCCAGAACATTGTACTGGTATTGTGGCCTACAATATTCTTTGTTTATTTCGCAACAACCTCATACTAAGGAGACAGTTTTACATGTGTCCGAGGAGAAGAGCAGAAAACCATAACTTCTTCAAGTGGGTGGATGGGTTGGAGGACTCCACCACTGAGAATAATCATGCATTGAGAGTTTCCTTGAATGACTGCTTATCACAAAACATTAATTAAGTGCACTTTAAAAATAACATTATCATATTATTAATAGTTATTTTAACTTTTTTTTTTAATTTTGATTGTCGTGTTACACATTTTTAGTGAATTGTTTATCTTTGTTTGTAATGTTCGAACTTGATATTTATTTTGAAGTAAGAAATGTGCTAGCAGGATTAGTTATGTTATAAACAGCAATATACTACCGGGGCTGAAAGGTCATTTGTTCAGAAACAGTTGCAGCACAGCGGCTACTAAACAGCAAAAAACAAACAGACAGTCAACTTCTCCACAGTAGCTTTTGCGCATTTCCGCAACTTTTAAGAAGTTGCAGTTGCCCCAAACAGACCCTAAAAAGGCCCTCATAATCTGTAATCTTGTTCTTAGTAAGTAATAGAGGAGAGGAGCAAAAGACGAACTATGATGCACTTGATATTTCAGGATGATTCCTTGCATTGAGAAGGAATATCTCTAAACTTAGTTCAAAAAATAAAACGTAATTAAAAATTGAAACCATATGAAGATAAATTAATAATCAGAAGTGTAGTTGAAGATTGAAACAAATAGAAGAGATGTCTACATAAGACAAAACACGCATTCATAAGAGTTGCCTAACAATGAGCGCCAAAATCCAAGAATAAAACCAAATAAATATATAATCACCAAAAAATGGTGAAGTTCATCATGTAGCTGTCTGCATTACAATTAACATGAAACAATGCGTTCATCTCAACAGAAATGAACTGGGAAAATGAAGCATACCTTTTCATACTTTTCTCTAAACGAAGCATTCTGTTCGGTTGCCAAGGCGAAAACATTATCTAAATTCACCTGTACTGAAATCTTCTCAACTTCAAGAGATTTAATCTACGAATGATGAAAGTCAATTAGTCAATTAATCATAATAATGCATAACATGTTCCAGATAAAAAAATCATTAAGTAGAAGAGAAAGGGACCTGTTCCTGAAGTTGTTTAATAACAAGAATTGCTTCCGATTCTCGCAAAGTCAAGTTGTTAGGGCCTTGAATAGCACCTTCCGTCAAATGATAGGGAGAGGAAGAATAGTTTTTAATAGGAGTGCACTGCATTTTCAAGCAGCTAACTTTCAATTCCCCAATCTTCGCATCGTCCAATTTCATCTGAAAGGAAACAACAAATATAGAAAAATTTGTTTGAAAAGAATAGCAAACAACAAAGAATGGAAGCACCTTAGCATCGTCCTCAAAGCAAAGTTCAGAAAATTCTTCTAACTTTTCTACTGATTGATGGCCTTCCTACAATATTTCAAAAAAACAAACTATGACTCTAAGAATATGAAGAGTAAAAACACAAGAGAAAACTAATAAAAAAAAAAAAAAAAAAAAACAGAATTCACACCAAAGATAGACGGGCTTTATTTTGATGTTTTCTTCTCCTGCTTGTCACGTTCAACAAAGCATGAGCATCAGGAAGAGAAAAGCACTCTATCCTATCTGTATAATCAGAAATCTCAGATAAGCTGCTACTAGAAGGAAAGCTATCTACAGGGTCTTCCCTTTCTTGGACCAGCTCACAGGAAGGATGCAATGAACTTATCTCTGGCGCCTCTTCAACGGCTTCCAAAATCTCAGTTTCCAGATTTGACTTGCAAAAACGAAGTTTCAAATCAGAAGCATATATATTGGAGATTTTCAAAAAAAAATTTATGGGCAACACAAGGTAACAGACAGCATACCGGACAATATCAAGGGCTTCCATAACATCCAAAAAGAGAATCCTAAATACCTGGGAGGAAAGCATCATCAACGAGACAATCTTTCCTAGAAGAGTGGTTTATGCAATACTTGTAATGCCATAAAATTTTACAACAGTAATGAGAAAACCTCTTGCACATCTCGAAATAAGACCAAACATGTTTTTTTTTAATTTCAACATTTTATTTTGATCATTTTAAGAAATAAAATAATAAATAAATAAATCAGTAAATATTAATTAATTTCATAATAACACTATTTTCTAAAGTTCTAATTAAATTTACTCCAGCAGAATTAATCGTTAAAACAACCATCTGTGGCATGCAATGGTTATGATGGATTATCAAACAAATATGAGTTATCATAATAGAAAAAATCAAGGGAGCGGCTTTTCAGGTTAGGCCACAGGTACAAAAGTAAAATAAGAGAAAAGAAGAAAAGGAAGAAAAAGAAAAGAAAAAAAAGAAGAAGAAAACGAGGAAATCAAGAGATTTAGGTAAGAAATCTGATTTGTTGCAGTTTCTTTAAGTTGATGAGTATAAAGCTTAGAATAAGAGACACTTTTGAAAGAAGAATCGATGTTTTGACTTGATTGATTTAGTTTTGAGTTGTCGATTTAAGAATTAGTAAATAATTCGTGAAATTGATGCTTTTAAAAGATTCTTTACAAAAGAGAAATGTTACAACCCGACTCGGAGCCTTGGAATTTTCAAGTCTCTGTCGTGTTATTTTGAGGTTATTAAAATGGAATCGCAAAGGTCATTTCGGGGTTAATTATGGGTTATTTCAGGGTTATTGAAGTGAAATATATGAGTTTCTCTTCAATAACCTCGAAATATCCTCGAAATATCCTCGAAATAGCCCCGAAATAACATTCACGGTTCCACTTCAATAACCACCACGATGTAGCACATGGCGGCATATTATTGCAGTCCGCAAAGAGAGCTACGTCCGGAGTCCGGACAGAAAATTTTTCCCATGTATAAGCCTTTCCATGAGCAGTGGGAGGGGAGTTCAAGTGACTGAAACCTGCCTCTGAGGTATCGTAAAAAGATTTTTTCATTCTTCCTTAATAATTATGTAAAATAAAAATTTAAAGGGTATTGTTATAGCAAAAGTATATTTTTTTTGTTTAAAGTATAAGAAATATGATAACTCCCAATAAAAAATACTGCAACATAAATAAATGAAACTAAACAGAAAAGTGTTTTCTTTACTGTTCATTACTGCTCACAATTTTTTTTCACTTACAACATTTTAAAAAAATATTATTTTAAAATTAGAATTACTTGATGTAACTTAAAATTTTATTAAAATAGAACGACACTTTCATCCTTTAGATTGGATTTAGTTATGAACAAATCTTTTTAATCACATAACAATACCACTTTTTTAAAATTTTAAAAAGAAAAATACACATTTTCATGTATACGTAAGGTGGCATGTATATGTAAAAATTAAGGTTTATGTGTTCGACATATAAATACTAAGAATTAAATGGCATGTAGTTTTTGGGGCAAAGAAAAAAATTATTCCTCCACACTTTTCTAAGACTCGGTTATAAGATAAATAGCCGGGGAAAACCTCCATATTAGGAAAGTTGCAAATTCACCATGCTGGAAAAATCCCCTCTCAAGTTGGAGCATAGAGAACTATCATGTCCAACTTGCTTACAAGAAACTCAAAATTAGATCTAAAAAGTTCATTGATGAAGATGTATGCTAATCGCTCTCAAGTTATCCAACTTTTTACAACATCTCTATAAAGAATCAATCAATATGTCAATGTTTATCTAAAGCAAAGACTACGGTCGATAATATTATTATTTTGGCTAGTTGATCTAGCAAACATACTACAGATTCAAAATGGACTAACACCAAACTATCAAGCCTTCGAAACTATCATTAGCACTAACTCGCCATTATCAATTTCAACAAGCTTTATCCACTGTTTGCAATGATATAAACGAACTATCATCAAATTATTAATCCACAAATTTATAAAGATATCAATCCCTAGCAATTTCTACTCAAGAATACAGATATTAAAACTTTTATCAATGACTTCTCTAAATAGGAAATGCTCTGCTGGTGGAAGAGAAAATCAAAATAATATGTTCCAAATCTCTTCTAGTAATTGGGATTTAAGCACTAATTCAAATATTTATATACTCTCAAAAAAAAAGGGGTAAATCAACAAAAACATAAACATATTGAAATTGTTCGTGCTTGGCCTCCTAAAATTAGCCCTTTATCATATAAACTTCTTAAGACTATTTATCTCATAAATCTATTACCATCCATGACAACCAATCTAACTAATCAATATCAGCTTCTCTACAATAAACCAACATAATATTCTTATCTAGGAGTTTTGTTTGATTTGGTTTGGTTTCAAAAATACATTTCTGTTCTTTATTTTCAAAACCTCAATATTTGGTTTTCTATTTTTAGGACGACTTAGTTTTCATTTAATCGAACAAACTGAAAAATTCGAAATTAAATAGAGGATTCATGTAACTAAATTGATATTATATATGTAAGATATGTAATTTTTTATCTTTGTTCAAAACCAAACACCAACTAACAACTAAATTTCGATGTGTTTATAATCAAATCGTTTAAACTGAATTAAATTTTGGTTTTGGACGATTCGATTTTATAAAAAAAAAATTGAATTAAATATTCAGGTTTAAAAAAAAAAACTGAAATGTGTTTTTGAAACAAAACCGAATCAAACATTAAGCATTGAATTAAATCAAGAGAAAATAATTGTTGGAACCTAAAATTAATCAAGAGAAAATAATTGCTCACACACCGCACATTAAGCATTGAATTAAATTAATCAAGAAAAATCTATAATACAAGAAAATTAATCATGAAAATGACAAATACACATGGTCCTATTGACCAAAATAAGAAACTTTCAAACAATAGAAACAAAAATATATTAATCATTAAAAAAACAAAACAAAACAAAAATGTAAATTTTGTAATGGATTTTGTGATGAAAGATAAAGATCATATCAAGCAGCCAAAAAACAGTTCAAATTTAATTTCAAAGCATTGCAACCATGTTGAATCAATATGACTAAAAACCATAGCTAAATCCAGAGAACAATTTAAATTTCTATCTAATCATATGTGCCAATAGAAGCAAACTCAATCAGCAAGTTGTGCAACAGGATACCCTTAATAAAAATTAGACAGAAATTGTCTCAAATTCATTAAATTTCTCCTCAAGTCTAAGTGCCGCACGCTCATCTCAAATAGAACGACTCTTTATCCTTTAGAATGGATTTAATTATGAAATGAAATTGTTAGATAGTTTTCTCTGTCCAACCGACAGTTCCGGCCTTGATAATTTCAGGCACCCAAACCGGATTGTAACACCGAAAGAAAATATTTTATATGATATTTTTACTAAGGATCGTGACAGAAAATCCAATGTCAACCCCAGCAGTTACAATCATGCCCAAGACTTCAGCACAAAGTACACTGTCAACAGAGAATTACAATTATACCCAAGATTTTAACTTCAAGATAGTTTTCCACGAGAAAAAATTCTTAAGAGTAGAATTTGTATTGATCCTGTTAAGTTTTCTGTGATTTTATTCCCGTAAGAAAATTTTAAAAGCACAATAATTAGAAGATTCCCTTTGGCACAGCTAGCTATTTAATCTGAAGTGATACTTCCAATCAGAGTTTGGGCTATATTCGAATGCCAACATGTGAGTGGCCTACGCATCTAGGCACCTCAAGTCACATCAGAACAAAATGACCTACTTGGGTTCAAGTCCATGTTTTTTCTCTTCCACTAAGCAACCAAAAAAATCGGTGGCTACAAACACATCCCATGGCTGAGAGTTAAAGTTTCAGCAAGTAAAAACATGGCATAAACAGCATAAAGCGTATAAATGAGAGAAGACATGTAATTGGATCAAGCAGGAATTTAATTCAGAATAATATGAAAAATCAAACAATAAATTAAATAAATATCAAGTCCAATAAGAATTACCACCTCATTAGGCAATTTACGAGAAAATGGTCCAGGACACCAAGTTAGCCGCCTCTTTCCTAATCATGCAACAAAACAAACATTACAAGCCAATAATTAACTTCGATCATATCACATATTTCAATGAAAAACAACTTAAAGGAAAGAAAATAAGCAGATAAAGCTGCAGAATTAGAAGCTACTAAGATAAGAATGAAAATCAAAAATGAACAATAAATATATTACTGAGATAAATGATTTAAACGAAGAAGTTATGAAATAAATTAAAAATGTAAGGAAAATATACAACTAACAATGTGACAATTATTGATGATGCTAAGTAGGGTCGTCAAAATGGCTCGTTGTTCGTGTTTAGCTCGTTAAGTAGCTCCTGTTTGATTCGTTCACTAAGTAAACAAACCGAACACGAACAATTCATTTGCACTCGATATAAAAACGAATCGAACACAAACAGAGTGGGTACTAAAAAAGAAATCATCGATAAAAAACGGAAGATAAAAAGGTTTTAGTGAGTGGGTATTAAGAGTCCGCTCACAGGGAAAACAACTCACTCAAAAAGAAACATTAAAATACACATATACCCCAAAAATTACGAAATACTCCTAACCATGGTAGGTGGATTTACCACTTCCCCTCACCCTAGTTCTAGGAAGGGAGTGCAGCAACAAACTAAGATATGGGCTTCCACCTAAAACTATCAAACAGCCATCCTGAAAATTCTCGAGTTCTAGCATTCTTTTTTTCTTCTTCCTAGCTTTGTAAACTTGTCATTCATCTGCCAGTGCTTTTCTCATCTGATCAATTGGTGGATCTTCGATGGAGAGCTCACCCTAGGGAGTTTGTTGATCTGTAAATTGCTAAGCAGTCTCAACCGGCAGCACACCTTGATCTTGGCACTCCTCAAAAACTTGAGTACCCTCTTCTCTCGAAACAGGTGGTTCCAAAACAGTTCGGCTATCATCTGCTACAGAGCTTCTGCTATAACCAAATTCTTAGTATTTATGATCTGAGGAAGAACTGCCTCACCAACA